ACTGTTGGGGATGTTGAAATGCCTATATGTATCCTTGGGGACCCAGCCTACCCCTTAATGCCATGGCTCATGAAGCCGTACACAGGCAGCCTGGACAGTGGTCAGGAGCTGTTCAACTACAGGCTGAGCAAGTGCAGAATGGTGGTAGAATGTGCATTTGGACGTTTAAAGGCGCGCTGGCGCAGTTTATTGACTCGCTTAGACCTCAGCGAAACCAATATTCCCACTGTTATTACTGCTTGCTGTGTGCTCCACAATATCTGTGAGAGTAAGGGGGAGACGTTTATGGCGGGGTGGGAGGTTGAGGCAAATCGCCTGGCTGCTGGTTACGCGCAGCCAGACACCAGGGCGGTTAGAAGAGCACAGGAGGGCGCGGTACGCATCAGAGAAGCTTTGAAAAACAGTTTCATGACTGGCCAGGCTACGGTGTGAAAGTTCTGTTTGTTTCTCCTTGATGAACCCCCCCCACCCCTTGGTTCACTCTACTTCCCTGTAAGCTAACCACCCTCCCCTCCTCCCTTTAATCATTGCTTGCAGAGCCAATAAAGTCATTGCTGCTTCACAGTCATGCATTCGTTATTCATTCATCACACAAATAGGGGGATGACTACCAAGGTATCCCAGGAGGGGTGGTGGAGGAGGGAAGGAAAATGCCACACAGCACTTTAAGCACAGCACTTTAAAAGTTTACAACTTTAAAATTTATTGAATGACAGCCTTCTTTTTTTTGGGCAATCCTCTGTGGGGGAGTGGCTGGTTGGCCGGAGGCCTCCCCACCGCGTTCTTGGGCGTCTGGGTGTGGAGGCTATGGGTATGTCTACACTACGGAATAAGGTCGAATTTATAGAAGTCGGTTTTTTAGAAATCGGTTTTATAAATTCGAGTGTGTGTGTCCCCACAGAAAATGCTCTAAGTGCATTAAGTGCATTAACTCGGCAGAGCGCTTCCACAGTACCGAGGCAAGCGTCGACTTCCGGAGCGTTGCACTGTGGGTAGCTATCCCACAGTTCCCGCAGTCTCCGCTGCCCATTGGAATTCTGGGTTGAGATCCCAATGCCTGATGGGGCTAAAACATTGTCGCGGGTGGTTCTGGGTACATATCGTCAGCCTCCCGTTCCCTCCCTCCCCCCGTGAAAGCAAGGGCAGACAATCATTTCGCGCCTTTTTTCCTGAGTTACCTGTGCAGACGCCATACCATGGCAAGCATGGAGCCCGCTCAGGTAACCGTCACCCTATGTCTCCTGGGTGCTGGCAGACGCGGTACGGCATTGCTACACAGTAGCAGCAACCCCTTGCCTTGTGGCAGCAGACGGTACAGTACGACTGGTAGCCATCATCGTCATGTCTGAGGTGCTCCTGGTCGCCTCTGTGAGGTCGATCAGGAGCGCCTGGGCAGACATGGGCGCAGGGACTAAATTTGGAGTGACTTGACCAGGTCATTCTCTTTAGTCCTGCAGTCAGTCCTATTGAACCGTCTTATGGTGAGCGGGCAGGCGATACGGACTGCTAGCAGTCGTACTGTACCATCTTCTGCCGAGCAGTCATGAGATGTGGATGGCATGCAGTCCTTCTGCACCGTCTGCTGCCAGCCAAAGATGTAAAAGATAGATGGAGTGGGTCAAAACAAGAAATAGACCAGATTTGTTTTGTACTCATTTGCTTCCCCCCCTCCCCCTGTCTTAGGGGACTCATTCTTCTAGATCACACTGCAGTCACTTACAGAGAAGGTGCAGCGAGGTAAATCTAGCCATGTATCAATCAGAGGCCAGGCTAACCTTCTTGCTCCAATAAGGACAATAACTTAGGTGCACCATTTCTTATTGGAACCCTCCGTGAAGTCCTGCCTGAAATACTCCTTGATGTAAAGCCACCCCCTTTGTTGATTTTAGCTCCCTGAAGCCAACCCTGTAAGCGCCCCTCCCAGCGTCAGAGCAATGGCAAACAATCAGGCATCTGAGAGTGCTGTCCAGAGCAGTCACAATGGAGCGCTCTGATGGGGCTAAAACATTGTCACGGGTGGTTCTGGGTACGTGTCGTCAGGCCCCCGTTCCCTCCCCTCCCTCCGTGAAAGCAAGGGCAGACAATCATTTCGCGCCTTTTTTCCTGAGTTACCTGTGCAGACGCCATACCACAGCAAGCATGGAGCCCGCTCAGGTAACCGTCACCCTATGTCTCCTGGGTGCTGGCAGACGCGGTACGGCTTTGCTGCACAGTAGCAGCAACCCCTTGCCTTCTGGCAGCAGACGGTGCAATACGACTGGTAGTCGTCCTCATCGTGTCCGAGGTGCTCCTGGCCGCGTCGGCTGGGAGCGCCTGGGCAGACATGGGCGCAGGGACTAAATTTGGAGTGACTTGACCAGGTCATTCTCTTTAGTCCTGCAGTCAGTCCTATTGAACCGTCTTATGGTGAGCAGGCAGGCGATACGGACTGCTAGCAGTCGTACTGTACCATCTTCTGCCAGGCAGGCAAGAGATGAGGATTGCTAGCAGTCGTATTGCACCATCTTCTGCCAGGCAGGCAAGAGATGGGGATGGCTAGCAGGCGTACTGTACCATCTTCTGCCGAGCAGCCATGAGATGTGGATGGCATGCAGTCCTTCTGCACCGTCTGCTGCCAGCCAAAGATGTAAAAGATAGATGGAGTGGGTCAAAACAAGAAATAGACCAGATTTGTTTTGTACTCATTTGCCTCCTCCCCTGTCTAGGGGACTCATTCCTCTAGGTCACACTGCAGTCACTCACAGAGAAGGTGCAGCGAGGTAAATCTAGCCATGTATCAATCAGAGGCCAGGCTAACCTCCTTGTTCCAATAACAACGATAACTTAGGTGCACCATTTCTTATTGGAACCCTCCGTGCAGTCCTGCCTGAAATACTCCTTGATGTACAGGCACCCCCTTTGTTGATTTTAGCTCCCTGAAGCCAACCCTGTAAGCCGTGTCGTCAGTCGCCCCTCCCTCCGTCAGAGCAACGGCAGACAATCGTTCCGCGCCTTTTTTCTGTGCGGACGCCATACCACGGCAAGCATGGAGCCCGCTCAGCTCACTTTGGCAATTAGGAGCACATTAACCACCACACGCATTATTCAGCAGTATATGCAGCACCAGAACATGGCAACGCGATACCGGGCGAGGAGGCGACGTCAGCGCGGTCCCGTGAGTGATCAGGACATGGACACAGATTTCTCTGAAAGCATGGGCCCTGACAATGCATGCATCATGGTGCTAATGGGGCAGGTTCATGCTGTGGAACGCCGATTCTGGGCTCGGGAAACAAGCACAGACTGGTGGGACCGCATAGTGTTGCAGGTCTGGGACGATTCCCAGTGGCTACGAAACTTTCGCATGCGTAAGGGCACTTTCATGGAACTTTGTGACTTGCTTTCCCCTGCCCTGAAGCGCATGAATACCAAGATGAGAGCAGCCCTCACAGTTGAGAAGCGAGTGGCGATAGCCCTGTGGAAGCTTGCAACGCCAGACAGCTACCGGTCAGTTGGGAATCAATTTGGAGTGGGCAAATCTACTGTGGGGGCTGCTGTGATGCAAGTAGCCCACGCAATCAAAGATCTGCTGATATCAAGGGTAGTGACCCTGGGAAATGTGCAGGTCATAGTGGATGGCTTTGCTGCAATGGGATTCCCTAACTGTGGTGGGGCTATAGATGGAACCCATATCCCTATCTTGGCACCGGAGCACCAAGCCGCCGAGTACATAAACCGCAAGGGGTACTTTTCGATAGTGCTGCAAGCTCTGGTGGATCACAAGGGACGTTTCACCAACATCAACGTGGGATGGCCGGGAAAGGTGCATGATGCTCGCATCTTCAGGAACTCTGGTCTGTTTCAAAAGCTGCAGGAAGGGACTTTATTCCCAGACCAGAAAATAACTGTTGGGGATGTTGAAATGCCTATATGTATCCTTGGGGACCCAGCCTACCCCTTAATGCCATGGCTCATGAAGCCGTACACAGGCAGCCTGGACAGTGGTCAGGAGCTGTTCAACTACAGGCTGAGCAAGTGCAGAATGGTGGTAGAATGTGCATTTGGACGTTTAAAGGCGCGCTGGCGCAGTTTATTGACTCGCTTAGACCTCAGCGAAACCAATATTCCCACTGTTATTACTGCTTGCTGTGTGCTCCACAATATCTGTGAGAGTAAGGGGGAGACGTTTATGGCGGGGTGGGAGGTTGAGGCAAATCGCCTGGCTGCTGGTTACGCGCAGCCAGACACCAGGGCGGTTAGAAGAGCACAGGAGGGCGCGGTACGCATCAGAGAAGCTTTGAAAAACAGTTTCATGACTGGCCAGGCTACGGTGTGAAAGTTCTGTTTGTTTCTCCTTGATGAACCCCCCCACCCCTTGGTTCACTCTACTTCCCTGTAAGCTAACCACCCTCCCCTCCTCCCTTTAATCATTGCTTGCAGAGCCAATAAAGTCATTGCTGCTTCACAGTCATGCATTCGTTATTCATTCATCACACAAATAGGGGGATGACTACCAAGGTATCCCAGGAGGGGTGGTGGAGGAGGGAAGGAAAATGCCACACAGCACTTTAAGCACAGCACTTTAAAAGTTTACAACTTTAAAATTTATTGAATGACAGCCTTCTTTTTTTTGGGCAATCCTCTGTGGGGGAGTGGCTGGTTGGCGGAGGCCTCCCCACCGCGTTCTTGGGCGTCTGGGTGTGGAGGCTATGGAACTTGGGGAGGAGGGCGGTTGGTTACAGAGGGGCTGCAGTGGCAGTCTGTGCTCCAGCTGCCTTTGCTGCAGCTCAACCATACACTGGAGCATACTGGTTTGGTCCTGCAGCAGCCTCAGCATTGAATCCTGCCTCCTCTCATCACGCTGCCGCCACCTTTGAGCTTCAGCCCTGTCTTCAGCCCGCCACTTACTCTCTTCAGCCCGCCACTTACTCTCTTCAGCCCTCCACCTCTCCTCCCGGTCATTTTGTGCTTTCCTGCACTCTGACATTATTTGCCTCCACGCATTCGTCTGTGCTCTGTCAGTGTGGGAGGACAGCATGAGCTCGGAGAACATTTCATCGCGAGTGCGTTTTTTTTCTTTCTAAGCTTCACTAGCCTCTGGGAAGGAGAAGATCCTGTGATCATTGAAACACATGCAGCTGGTGGAGAAAAAAAAAGGGACAGCGGTATTTAAAAAGACACATTTTATAAAACAGTGGCTACACTCTTTCAGGGTAAACCTTGCTGTTAACATTACATACATAGCACATGTGCTTTCGTTACAAGGTCGCATTTTGCCTCCTCCCACCGCGTGATTTTGGTTGAATGCCAGCAAACATACACTGCAATGCTTTGTTCTACAGTGATTCCCCAGTACGTGTTGCTGTTAACATTACATACATAGCACATGTGCTTTCGTTACAAGGTCGCATTTTGCCTCCTCCCACCGCGTGATTTTGGTTGAATGCCAGCAAACATACACTGCAATGCTTTGTTCTACAGTGATTCCCCAGTACGTGTTGCTGGCCTGGAGTGGTAAAGTGTCCTACCATGAAGGACGAAATAAGGCTGCCCTCCCCAGAAACCTTTTGCAAAGGCAGAACCGCAAATGCCAGGGCAAAGTAATCCTTTCACATGCTTGCTTTTAAACCATGTATAGCATTTTAAAAGGTACACTCACCAGAGGTCCCTTCTCCGCCTGCTGAGTCCAGGAGGCAGCCTTGGGTGGGTTCGGGGGTACTGGCTCCAGGTCTAGGGTGAGAAACAGTTCCTGGCTGTCGGGAAAACCGGTTTCTCCGCTTGCTTGCTGTGAGCTATCTACAACCTCCTCATCATCATCTTCTTCGTCCCCAAAACCTACTTCTGTATTGCCTCCATCTCCATTGAAGGAGTCAAACAACACGGCTGGGGTAGTGGTGGCTGAACCCCCTAAAATGGCATGCAGCTCATCATAGAAGCGGCATGTTTGGGGCTCTGACCCAGAGCGGCTGTTCGCCTCTCTGGTTTTCTGGTAGGCTTGCCTCAGCTCCTTCAGTTTCACGCGGCACTGCTTCGGGTCCCTGTTATGGCCTCTGTCCTTCATGCCCTGGGAGATTTTCAGAAAGGTTTTGGCATTTCGAAAACTGGAACGGAGTTCTGATAGCACGGATTCCTCTCCCCAAACAGCGATCAGATCCCGTACCTCCCGTTCGGTCCATGCTGGAGCTCTTTTGCGATTCTGGGACTCCATCATGGTCACCTCTGCTGATGAGCTCTGCATGGTCACCTGCAGCTTGCCACGCTGGCCAAACAGGAAATGAGATTCAAAAGTTCGCGGTTCTTTTCCTGTCTACCTGGCCAGTGCATCTGAGTTGAGAGCGCTGTCCAGAGCGGTCAGAATGGAGCACTCTGGGATAGCTCCCGGAGGCCAATACCATCGAATTGTGTCCACAGTACCCCAAATTCGAGCTGGCAACGTCGATTTAAGCGCTAATCCACTTGTCAGGGGTGGAGTAAGGAAATCGATTTTAAGAGCCCTTTAAGTCGAAATAAAGGGCTTCATTGTGTGGACGGGTGCAGGTTTAAATCGATTTAACGCTGCTAAATTCGACCTAAAGTCCTAGTGTAGACCAGGGCTAAGTGACCTTGTGCTAGTGGAGGATCACATGTAGCCAAGCTTTACTCTAGTGTGCCTTTTCTTCACCCTTAGAATACCCTGGACACATTACTTCTCTCTCCATATGCCAGAGGAGGGGGCAGCTGGTGCAGAATGCAGCTATCTCACCTCTGCCGGCTTTGTGTCAGTGATTTTTCTAGAGCTAGAAGTGAGTGGTGCGTCTTGGGGAAAGTTGGGTATCTTTTCTTTCCAGTGTTATAAAGCTGCTGGTCTACATTTTCAAAAGTGCTCAATGATATTGGGTGTACCAATTTTAGACACATTTCAGGAGCCTAATTTTCAGAGAGAAGGTGCTCAGCACTTCTGAAATGCTGTCTCAAGTCAGACAACCAAAATCATGAGTCACTGTTTTGAAAAATTAGACCACCATTTTTAGTGGTGCATGCCCACAAGATAATGAACTTTAAATCCATGATATTTTCATATATAGAAAAGTTGCCACTTGCCCATCTTGGTCATGGGTTATTTTGGGAGGGGGCGGGGGGGATTTCACATCTGAAAAAAGAAAAGGCAACATTTTGCTGGCACGTTGATATTTTTAAACATGTCAGCAGTCTGAAGTTACTCAGGGGTTTAGAATAGTAAATTAAGTCACAGGAGAGATGGAATAGTAGGCATACAGCAAGTAGGCTGCAATTTTTCACATGGAAATCAGCTGCAAATATGTGGCCAACAATTTCAAATTTGCTTGCCAAAATTTACACACTCAGGGTCTGATTCAATGTCCCCTGAAGTCAACAATTGTCTTTCCATTGACTTAAATGGGAATTGGTTTAAATGGGAGTTGGTTTGGACCTCTCTCATGCAGAGAGCTGAGACTCACAAACACTGAAGTTAATAGAAATTCTGAGTGCTCCATGCTTCTGAAAGTCATGTAACCTAAAAGCCTAATAATGGATTTAGAGACCTAAATTAAGACACCCAAGTTTGAAAATGAGAGGAGTGTGTGCAAGAATGCACATGCAAGTATATTACTAGCTTTCCAGGCAGACTGTAAAAACAGCCTCTTCTTAACTTTATTCAACAGTCAATCCATAGAGTAGTATTGGAATTGACCCCACGGGGACTTTCTTTTCTGCCTCCCAGATAAAAATAACAGGTGAGGCAAAATCTATGATCCAGGCATACTAATAGCTTGGCCAAAAAGTATGAAGAGATCAAGACGCAAATGCAGCTTCATATATTTTCTTTCTAAAAAGGCATTGTGATATGTTTAATATGATTTATCATTTGGTAGTTTTCAACACAGTACAATCCTTTGTAGTTTGAACAAAAAGAAATCCTTCCAATCTCTCTCCTCTTTGCATCATGATAGTAGTACATTGAAGAATAAATGTCTTAAGTAAATAAAGTGCTCTGTGGAAAAGCATGTTTGTTATTAATACATTGTAGTCTTTTTTTCTTGTGGTTTTGCAAAATAGGTTTTCTTGAGGTATTTTTATTTTGAAAGGGCAGTGATTCCCGCAGCTGATAAATAATAGGAGAGATAAAAAGGTTTTAACAGTAATGTAAAATGCACATCAGAGAGTTGGGAGAAGTAATGCAAAAAGGTGCTGAAAGCAGATCATGAGATGTCTTGTGTTGCCACATTTTCTTAAATCAGCATATTATCTCTAACCTGCTAAATATCATCTAAATTTAATAACACATTAGGGTAGTGGCAGCTAGCACATATATAGGACATTCCTGCAGACTACACTAAGGTATTAGACTTAATACAACATGCTGGCAACTAAGATCTACAATTTTTAGAATATTTTATATGAGCATCTGAATAGTCTCAAAATAATGGTACCAGCTTACATGGAAATCATATGTCTATAGGGGCAGCTGTAATTTAATTTTTTTTAAAGGGCAACTCCCAATCTTGTTGGGTGAATGTGGGAGTTAGTCTGTCATTCACTCCCACACGCTTGACAAAAAGCTGGCTACTAAAGAGACAATTTTGTAATTTATGTACACCTGTACAGCCTTTGAATATGATTTCCCAGGTTTAAAAATCAATGGGAGTTTTGCCATTGACTTCAATAGGGCCAAGATTTCACCTTTGGGGTCACAGTGTAATACCCATTCTCACACTGAATAGTGCTTTACTCCACATGGAGTTTCATTAGTTTCAATGGGACTACTTTAGAAGGAAGGTGCTATTCATTGTGAGCAAAATGGTGCTAAAGATGGCTCCCTGCCTATAAACACAAAAGGATAGAGGCTAGAGACAGATGAGATTAAATAAAAGGTCAAAAACAAAATCTGGCTGAAGTTAAAACTAAGGGCCACTTTCTGACCTGTGCTGGATGGATGCCTTTGGGGCAGGAGGTGGTGGAAGGAGCTTTTATTACCCAGACACCTTACATTCCAATGCAAGATAGCTAGTGCTCAACAGAGTATTAACAGAGAGGCCAGGATACCATGTCCATCAGCATACCCAAGGAGGCATGGTCTTACAGCCTGGTGATTTGACCTCACACACAGCTCACTAGTTCATATGCTCAGGAGTGCATCATGTACTAGCAGTGAAACCAATATAAAAAATCAGTAGTGTGTTCCACCACACTTGCTAGCACCCCTGCAACCTTTCAGCCATCCTGAGCCATTTTTCTGCACCCTGACTAGATGGTTCTGAGAGCAGAGAGACTGTTTCACTCTCCAAGATCAGGACCTACCACTACAGTTACATTACACTGGAACAATGGGACAGTCACCTACATTTCAATGACAGGGAGAGTATTCTCAGTAACTGGCCCATGGCTAGGTAATTCACTCCCTTAAGATATTAGAAAAATTATAAATCCCCCTTGGGACTGAAATGTAAAACCCATTACTCTAATCTGTACTTCAATAATAATACTAACAAAAATAATGAAGCCATCTTCCCTGGGAGTTGGACAGAAAGCTAGAGATCCCTTATTGTATTTACTCTGAGAATTTGTAAGGTGCTCTGATACCATGGTGATGAGCATGGTATAAATGCCTAGCTAGATGGATGGATCCAGCTGGCACCTCTCAGCTCCTCCTACACACACCATGGTGCTCACCAAAGCAAGTATATCAGTTCACCTTTTTTATTAAGTATATGGGCACATATTTTGCAGAAATGACACCCGTAGCAAACAAACAATATTTTACACACTTGATTAGCAGCAAATATAAAAATGAATATATAAATAAACATACAGTGTTCTTCCAATGAAAAAGCCCTTCATACATCTATCTGTCTGTGTCATTTTAAAGAGGATATATAAAAAATGATATGACCCTGCTTGTCCAGATAATGTTTATTATTCAAAGGTTTAGAAAGACTCATCCAAGTTGAGTCCTAACTTGCACTTTTGCTATTTACATAGGATTTGTAGACAGATACCAGTTTTTCTTATCTCGAAGATAAATACTTACTATATCAGTCTTTGCATCACAGGTTGTATCAGAAGTATCCTAGAGATAACACAAATCTCTTGAGGAAACCCAGATTCTGAAAAGTAATGGAAACTTCTATAATTTCACAAACTATTTCAAGGTTGGAAAGTATTTACTTTGCCTGTCAGACTTTTCCTGGTTTTGAATATTAAGCACTTTACTATTTTTGCATAATTCAAACTTTCACAACTTAAAAAAAAACCCGATTCCCCAAACAAAACTACTACCACAACTAGCAGTTATCAGTATCCTTGTTGGTAGTGCAGCAGAGGACAAAGACTCAATAGCTAAAGAAAAGCAGCTAAACTTCATCTCTAAAAGTAGTTATTCCCAGGTCTGATTGAGGGCACTTTAATGGGGCAATGTGGAAGCAACTTGCACCATTGCTTCAGAAAGACTTCTTAGGTCCATAGGCTTACAACTCTCCTGTACAATTATCCAACCGCTATAACTAATATTAACATATTTGTTTTCTAAAGAACCACTTTTCAAATGGTATAATTAGTTACTAAGGCACTGTATTGGGCAAATTGCTGGATGATTCCAAAACAATTATATTCATAAAATAAGAAAAAGGCAAACAGTGAGGCAAATAAAAATGGGTGCAATTTTAATTGATTAAATGGGATTAGCACACCCTTTCACCAGGAGTGAATTTGGTCCTGTAACTGCAAGAATTGCAAAATTCTGATTAACTGGTTTTTATCCTGAGTTCAGTTAGTATTAAAATATGGAAATCAAAGCTTTGGTACTGGTAGCATAACTTTTTTTTAAACCAGAATCCAATGACCAAGACCTAATAGAAGTCAGAAGAGTAATCTCTATCTCCCACCTTTCTCTTGGCATTAAAAAATTATCAGTTTCTTGCTTTGTATTAAATCAGGTGGTGCTTATTTCCCTAATGAGGAATGGTAAGGGAGAAAACAGCTCAGTTTCCCCACACAGACTTATTTTTGCCTTTGAAGCACATACTGGAAGTTCTGCCACCAGTTTGTTTATTATATCATTATTTTAGCCAACAGCTAAGAAACAGATGCTTCTCCAGGTCAAGGCATTCCAACCTTTTACAACACAAGTGTCTTGTCTTTATTTATAATTTTATGTGGATTTCAAATATCATATCACATATCAAGCCTGCTTGTCATGGGCTAGGCCCAGGGGCCCCGTGCTGGAGACCTCTGGGTCCTGCCACACGCATCCCTGGAAAGGAGCAATGGTGCTATGTCCTCCAAGTGGTCTAGAGAGGCTGCAACGGGCTAGCCAATCAGAGAGGCTACAGGGAGCAGCCAATCAGGGCCCAGGAGAGCCATATAAAAAGGAATTGCAGAACCAAATGCAATCAGTTCCTTGTTGGAGCCAGAGGAGTACAAATGGTGCTCCTGGAAGGGAATGGCTGCACCATGGACAGTTCAATGCTGGCAGGGATTAGGGAAGGAAGGATGAGCTCCTTGCTGGCTGCTGGGCCTGAATGAAGGAGAGCCCTATGGTAAGGGTGCAGCATCAGTGAAAGCTGTGGCTGTGGGGAAGTAGCCCAGGGAGCTGAAAGCAGTTATGCTAAAGGGATACAGTGGCATGTGTTTGCTATTTTTAGGGTCCCTGGGTGGGGCCTTTGAATAGTGGGTGGGTCTGGGTCTCTTCCCTTCACCCCCCACCACCACAGACTTTTGGGTGAAGTGGCCTACAGTCAGACAGTGAAAAATACCCAGAAGGGGATCTGTAGTGGCACAGCTGGAGAGCTGAGGCCAGAACAGACCAAGAGGGGAAAACCATTACCTGCAGGGAGGAAGCCCTGGGGATATGGCCTGATACCAGGGCAGGGACTGTAGACTGCAGACACACCTGACCAGAAGGGGTGCTCATGAGAGCTGAGTGCCACTCTGTTTAGGATTCAGTGGTTAATGCCTTAAAGTAGAAGGGCCCTCTCAGTACATGTCCAGCAAAAGCAGCTTGCAAAGCCCTGCTATAGGATT